CCAGCCGTTGCAGCTGCGCCGACTCCTGCCGCGCCAGCCAGCGTTCCAGCAACCTCGCCCGCGCTGGGCGCCAAGGCTGCTGCTCCTTCAGCCAGGCCCCCCAGGTACTCGAAGGCCCTCGGCGGTCCCTCCTCCGCAGCCACGGCCGCCGTCTCCTCAACAGCCTGCGCTGCGCCACACTCCACCTCCTGCGCGCGCTGCCCCGCCTCGTCCAGGAGGCGCTCCACGTCACTGGGCCGACCTATGATCTGCGGAGGCGGCTGCGGCTGGGCGCACGTACTCAGCTGCGTCCTGGGGCAGCTGAGAGCGGAAGGCCCCCCTGCGCCTATGAGGTCCGCTGCCGCCTGAGCGCCGTCGGCCGTGCTGCGCAGACGTTCCGTGATGGGGCACCCAGGGCAGGCGCTCTATGAACGGGCGGGTCTTCAGCAGGCCGGTGGCCGGGTTCTCGATGACCCACATCAAGGGGCCAAAGTGCGCAATGATCTCAAGGGCGCTGGGCACCAGCGCGTCGCCCTCCAGGAGCCGCCGCGGGCGCGTCGTCAGCGCGCGGCTGTATTCCGCGCAGACCGGGCTGGCCCAAACCATGTCGAAGTGCCCCGGCGGAAACGTCGTGTAGTCCCAGCTCCGGATGTCGCACAGGATGGTGGGCTCAAATTTCGACACGATGTCCAGGGAGACGACCTCCCAGCCCGCCGCCTCGAAGGCCCTGCCCACCGACTTGGCGCCGCAGAAAAGCTCCAGGAGCCTCGGCATTTTTAAAGAGCAAGATCACCGCCGCTGCGACGACCAAGAAGACTCGCGCGTTCATCGGGCCGGATTTTTTCTCCGCGAGATAAAAAGCCGAACTTCGCAACCATGAAGCTTGCACTCGGGCTGGACGTTCAGACCAATGCCAAGGGTGCAAGGTAGACGTGGGAGCCCGGCAACTTCCAGGACGACGGGCCAAGAGGGTGGGTGTGTGCTTTGCGAGCAACACCGACCTGGAGCTGTGGACGGAGGAGGTGGAGCAGGGCGTCATCGACAACATGATCGTCTTCCAGAAGCCCTTTCCGGGGGCCGCCCGCACCGAGCTTGAGAGCCAGCTGCAGCGCGCCGTCAAGGTGAGCACGTCAAGTGCAAGATTGACTTGGAGCGCTGCCTCTTCTGGGACCCGGCCGGCAACCGCGCGCCGCGCCGCAGAGTTTTCGCGTCGCAGGGGCCGCGCTTGTGGAGGCCCGGCACGTGCGGCTGATGCGCAGGCAGTGGGGCGTGCTCTTTGAGGTGCGCCACCTCATGCTGGAGCCCCTGGAGGCGCCGTGCTGCCCGTTCGGCTAGGCCGCCTCCAGCAGCTCGGAGCTTGTCGCCCTTGAGGCGCCCACGTACAGGTGGCGCAGCGTGAGGTGGCAGGACTCCAGGTCCAAGCGGACGCGGTCGTGGAGGGTGAGGCCCTGGCAGCTATCTTTCACAGATGGTGCCTTAGAGGCTTCCAAGCCCTCCGTAGGAGGCGTCCTCGTGGACTTCTTTGGGCAACCCCGCTTTCACTTTTCTTTTGAGCCCCCGGCTCTTTCAGTTCTTGCGACATTTGGATCTCACTGCATTTTGCACCTCGAGATCCTTCCCATTTTGGTGGCACTTCACCTCTGGCCAGACCTGCTCTCAGGCACGGCCATTTTCTTTCATGTGGACAACGAAGCTGCACTTCATTCTCTCATTCGCATGTCCTGCGACAACCATGCGGCCGACCAGCTTGTCCAACACTTCCTACGCCTTGATTGAGCAACGGATGACCTTCGATACATGGATCCACCGGGTCCCTACCGAGGTGAATGTTGCCGACGCCCTCAGTCGAGGCGATGAAACTCAGTTACTTTTCTTTCGATCCAGAAGTCCCACGTTACACCAAGCATTTGGAACAGTCTATGGAGCCACTCACTCATCCAACCTGGGGGCGGGTGGGAGAAAATCTAAGGCCCTGAAATTGGAAGGAAAGGAAAGGTTTGAGCCTCAAGCTGCAACTCAACAGTTAAGGGCACCAGTATAACGCCGCGAGTGTAAGGACTAGCAATCCTTATACCTGGTGCCCTTAAGCAGCTTGAGTCTCTCAAACTACTTAACAAAGGAACCCTGAGCGCAAGCACTCCTTTTCAGCACACGGGGTAGAGCATCAAAGGTAAGGAAAGGTCCTTCTCAGAAAGAGGGACCCCCAAAAAAAAGACCCGGAAAAAGGGGGTCCCCAAGAAGGCCGCAGGGGGTGAGGGCAGGCAAGCGCCCCATGTTGAGAACTCGCACGCACCCCCTGTAAACTGAGTGCTCGACCGTGTGTAGTGACCTGAGGCGGCACAAGCGGACAGATATGGCAAACGAATACATGTGTGAAGAAAGGCATGATTGGCAAACAATTCGCAAGACATGCGTGGGAATCAAATGGTTGGTGTAACGTGGGACTTCTGGGATTTCAAGAAAAGTAACTGAGACTCATCGCCTCGACTGGGGGCGTCGGCAACATTCACCTTGGTAGGGGCCCGGTGGATCCACGGATCGAAGGTCATCCGTTGCTCAAGGCGTAGGAAATGTTGGACAAGCTGGTCGGCTGTATGGTTGTCGCAGGACATGCGAACGAGGGAATGAAGGGCAGCTTCGTTGTCCACATGAAAGAAAATGGCCGTGCCTGAGAGCAGGTCTGGCCAGAGGTGAAGCGCCATCAAAATGGGGAAGGATCTTGAGGTGCAAAATGCAGTGAGATCCAAAGGTCGCGAGAACTGAAACTGGGGGCTCAAAAGAAAAATGAAAGCGGGGCTGCCCAAAGAAGTCCCAAATTCGCCTCACACCCCGACTTGGGGTGATGATGACGAGTTGGCTGAAACCGAGCCTTCTCCTCTCCCCCCGAGGACTGGAACGTTGAGAAGGGAAAGGGACGGCGCGGCGGTGGACAGGGTAAGTGATGCCCGATTGTGTTCCACGAGAGCTGTGTCGCGTCCGAGTGTGCCAACGCGCGCTTGCAATTTGATGTGGTTTCATTTTAAATCAAATCAATGCATGACGACGCCCGCAGGACAACGCTCCTGGTGTCGATCCACCATATCGGTTAATCACCGAATAGTAATTCAATCGCAAGTATGACTGTGCGCGCCAGTCATATTGTCCTGCCAGGTACGTAATGTCAAAACAAGGCAGTCACCCTCGCCGGCATCTATGGCCGCTGGCGATCAACATCCTCCCGCACCGCTGATGCAGCTGGCGAAGGATCGCATCGAGGTGCAGGGGTGAAGATCACGAATGCGCTGGTGATGTCCTACTCGGACATGTACCGCTGAGTGCTGCTGGCGATCTCTCTGCCGGTAGTCCTCGAATGATCGCGCGCCTAGACGGTGCTAATTTTAAGACCAGGTCATTACGGTCAACGCACCACGTTTCAATCAGCAGGCCAAAGCGCCTTAACCCTAAAACTCACACACCGTATCCACACGAATCTGATGGTTCACTGTGGTTGCATCGCAACATCATTTTATTTCATGCCTGCCATATTGGAGCTGAGTCTTCGTTCTCTTTTCTTCTTTTGTTCTTTCCTGCTTGATTTGGCTACCGGCGCGAATCCGCCCCATACCCGTAATTCGGGGTGGTGGCGGGATCCGGGCATCAATGAGTGCCCGGGTATGGGGTCGCGAACCCCGGTAGTCTAATCTCCTGTTTTTTCTTGTTTATTGCTACTCAACTTCAACATGGCCAACGCGCCTTTCCAAATTCACTCCATCTCTTTGTGCAGTCGAGGGGGGTGTTTTTGGGGGCATGTACTTTTATCATAGCAGTTTGTAGTACGCCATTGCCCAACGCGGCATTTGGCTCAAGTTTTATCTCCGGCAGTTCTCATCTGCCATCTCGTCACGTGCTCGCGGCGGCACTGGCCACTGTCCTCGCGCAAAAGGTGCGCGGGGCCGGCAGGCCATGGTCCGGGTCTTCGTGGAGGTGGGTCGGGTGTTGAGTTGGGAGGTCGCCCTTTGTTTTGCTTCTGCACGCCTGCTCGCTTTGCTCGCTTGGTGCTGCTTGCTGCTGGTTTGCTTGCCTGCTTTGCGCTGTGCTGCGCTTCTGCTTGGTTCCTTCTTGTCACAACGAGGCATCCCTTTTGGTTCGTGTTAGTGCCGGCCGGGGGCAACTGCTTTGCCCTTGGGACCGGGGGGATAATGTGGTCTCTTCTTGTTGGTGGGTTAGGGCCTGTTTTATCCATCCCGAAACTCTGTTTCAAACCCTTTCGCAGAAAGCAATGGTTGGCGTTCATGTGTCACCACCGCGGTTTTCCTACGGAACTCTCTTCCTGAGTTCCGGACTAGCTGTTGGGGAAAACAATTGTTAGTGGAGGATGGCGCCTGAAGTCATGGGAAGGGGTCTTAACACCATGGTAAGTGGGTTACCAGGGTTTACCATTTATACTCACGGGCTGAGTTTTCGTGGACTTGAGAGTCGCTTGTTGGGGATCTGTTCTTCCATTTTGGTAAATCAGAAGTGCGGGTTACTTTTTTGGGGCCAATCCACTTGATCGGAACTGAGGGATGGTCACCGAGGCCGCGCAGTCAGAGGCCGAGGCGTGACCTCAGGCCGATCAAATTCATCCGTGTATGACAAACTTTTTGCCTCATCTTCACAGCGCCAACAGTTTGTTTTGCATGTGCATATCTTTGATAGCCGTGTTTTCAAAGCAAGGACTACATATGCCTGTTTCTTTTGATGATATCATGATGGATTGACAAGTGCACAGAAACGTAACCAAGTCCAAATGTTGGTCGCCTTGCATTCTTGCGCTATCCTTTTGGCGCGAGAACAGGAATTGAACCACACGGCACGCATGCTGTCATAGTGTTCAGCCAAGCATAGAATTAGGGTTATGTGCTTGCAGCACGCAGCCCTCTCAATGTGCACATTTTGGACAGGATTTCTTGCGAGCACTATTCCTCAGAGAGCAAACCAAGTGTTGTTGGTTTGGAAGGGCATGCAGCCAATATGCTTAGCACTCATGCAAATCAAATCCCTCACTCAGAACAGTCCAGTAGCACGCTGCTATGGCGGTTGGCAAGAGTTTGCCTGCCTCTGGCGAGTTGGATCTGGACCAACTCATCGCAAAGTCGGGGTCTTGGTGAAATGGCAATGGGTGGTGGTCAAAACCGTTTTGGGATCCCATATTGGGGGGTTTCCGGTGAATTCATTCACCACCCAAAAAATGGCTTTATCTTAGTGGTTGGATTGGATCGGATGTTCGCTGGGGGTACGGGATTTGGATTTTGGCCCATGGCCAAATGCTGCACGGTCTTTTTCATGGGAGCTCCTGACCTGAAGGCTGAAGCGGGACGGGGACATCGTGCCCGAAATTCTCCCGGAGCGACTTCTGAAAGCAGCTTGTCCACCTGTCTTTGACTTGATCACTGGCTTGGCGGCACGCTCCTTGCATGCCAGGCCAGCAGCTGAAAAGCATCCTCATTGAGGCCGTCAAACACGCATGTCTGTTTCGCAGCTTTCGGTCTCTCTTGGGCATCGTGGTTTTTGGAATAGGAGAGCAACGTTCAGCCTGTGCAGCTGCCGGTTGTGTATCTCGGCAGACATGATGCGATTGCCATGAGCGGATGCATAGCATTGGATCTATTTTGTCACATTGAGGATATGTGGTGACCTTCATGGTGTTGGCCTCACATCCATCATTTCGTCAGTGATGGATGTGGCTTGCAGGTCAGTACTTCGATCTGTTGGAGCTCTTCAACATCGGTGGACAAATTCCAGTTTCTTGGAGACTGAAACCTTGCCATGTGCGACGTCATGTTTCTGAGCTTCGGAGCATTGTTTGCTTGGCTGGCGGATTGACTTCTTGTGTTTCTGATTTGCCTGGCAGTACATGTTTGCCAGTTCCGTGGTCTAAGGAGAAAAACTACATTTTCATGGGTGACTTTGTTGATCGAGGCAGCGTTTTTTGCACTCGCAGGGAAATGCGGAGAAGTGAAGTGGAGCAAAAGACTAGACATTCCATGCGCAGGATACAACAGCGTGGAAACTTTTGAGCTTCTCATGCTTCTGAAGCTGCGGTATCCAGTCTGCGCCCCATTTTTTGTTTTGTTTTTGTTATTTTTGTTTTCCGGTTTGCTTTCCGGCGGCAGTTTTCTCGGCCACAGGCCAGCATCACCCTCCTGCGGGGCAATCACGAATCCCGGCAGATTACGCAGGCGCTTCGGCCGTAGCCCGGTCCAGTGTGGAAGCAACAACAGAGCTTGACATGCTGCAGGTGTATGGCTTTTATGACGAATGCCTGCGAAAATATGGCAATGCGAATCCGTGGAAGCAGGGTGCCTATGTCAGTCCTGGAAACCTGTGTGTAAGTTTCGTCCACCTTGCGTCAAGGTACTGCACAGAGGTCTTTGACTATCTTACGCTGACAGCCATCGCCGGGTCCTTACCACGAGAGAGTGGGCACACCCTAGAGCATCAAGCATGCGCTAGCAATGAATCTGAGCAGCTGAGGTAGAGAACTCAATTTTTTGTGTTCATGGAGGCCTGTCTCCGGATGTTGGAAACTTACGGAGCGCACGACAGCTTCCCTGGAAGAACAAAAACCAGTTGCAATGCTTTGGAATTGGAAATGACCATAGGTACCCGCACAGGCACCTGTGGCATTGCACCAGCCCTGTGAATATAGTTTTCAGGGATTACAGGAGCGGGGCATCCAATCTTTGTTCATGTTCGCAAGCTAAGCAAGCTGAGTTTGACAATCTCAGGTGAAAATCTTGGATCAGATCCGCACCATCAACAGAGTGCAGGATTGGACTTTGAACGTTCTTGTCATGCCAGGCTGCAAGGAAAATTCCGCTTGCTGCAAGTTGCAAACAAAAGCATACATCACCTAGGTGCAGCCACCGAGCCAGCCTGCACGGAGCTTGTTGCCAGGAGATCCCTCACGAAGGCGCATTTGGAGACATCGTGTGGTCTGACCCGGAGGACATCGAGTCTTGGGCTGCTGAAGCCTCAGCATGCACAGAAGAACAGGCTGCCCAGGTGGTGCAAGATGTGTCGATTCAAAGGCAAAAGGATCAAGGAGTTGATATGTTTTGTGGTCCTGTCCTGGGAAAGGACCGTCATTTTGCCCCTCAATCCTTGGCTATTCTGCCTTGCAGACAACAATGAGTCCAGGCTAGTATTAAACTAGATCGATGTCTTGATCGATTATACTTGCAAGTCTGGGTGTGCGATCAATCAACCATCAGCTTGGTTGCGCAGTTGAGATCAAAAGTTCACTTGGGGACTTAAAAATGACATTGCACAGGTCTCTGTGCTTTCTTAATGCGGACTTCATTTGCCGTAGCTATGCGAGTTGCAAAAGAGATCGCTGAGCTGAATGCGTGATCGCATTATATTGACATTGGGAACTTGAGAGTCAATGCAAGTTCCTTGCGTGCCCGAAGCCCCACACTGCGCGAGGCACACAGGCATTCAGGGTGTACTGCTTCGGAACGCACTGTTCGCACGTGCGTACCCATCTGGCTGGCTTCACTGCGCACTGCCGAGTCTGAGGCTGTCAAGTCTTCATTTTTGCTACTGCGTCAGGCTGAGCACCAAAAGCGGAGATCGCGGTCGCAAACACGTGCACACCAACAAGCACGACCCTATGGTTTGCAGGGAGGTAAAGAAATTCTCTGGCTGTATGCGCATATCATGATGAAGAGGCCGGATGATGGCGTAGTTGTCGAGAATGGCAACAAGTTGTGCTGGACGGAGGCGGCTTGCGAGCAGGGCTGGGACGCGTTCGTTGGCATCTTTACACAGGAGTATGCCACCTATCCGACGCAGGTGAAAGTATGGGAGGTCGGATTCGAACGTGTATACTCAAGGGTTTACATCTCACGGCTTCCATCCGGGCCCATGTCCGCGAAATGTCACACTATGGCCGTCAGGACACTCTCAAGTCAAGTCTTAGTCTTGAGTACCAAGTTGTCGTTGCTGAAGAGCCGCCTGATCGAGGACCTCCCAGTTCGGCTTGGGGAAAATAGAACGGGCACTGCGAGAAGGTCTCATGCTGGGCCAAACATTCCGACTGGGACACTCAGTCCTGGAGAGGCGGTGTGGTGGTGACATCTCCAGCAGGATCTGCTAGGTCTGTTGTTTGTGCACTCTGGCGCGTAGACTATTTTTTGTATTCTGTAGTTGTGATGTATTCACATGGCTTTTTGTGACCACGAGATTGGTTCCTGCCATAGCTGTCACAGCTAAAAACATCATTGTGTTGGCGTACTTGATTTCAACTCTGAGGCATGCACAGTGTCCGTCGCTTTTTTTTCCTCTTTTTTTTTCTCCGGATCAGTGAGTCGAAGGTTTCGGGGAGAAGATGTGTTTTCAAGCTGAGGTCAGCCCTCGGGGCGCTGGATGGCTTTTCGGGGAGCGCCCCACACAGCACTTCAACCGCCGCACGCCTGGTGTTTCAATTGGGTATGGGTCAAGATTGAACCACCAGGAATTGGACCGCAGATTTTAGTCCATGTTTCCTTTTACCAGGGTTGCATTTTGGGTCTCCCATTTTTTGGACCCACAGCTAATTGTAGACCCGGAGTGGAGTGGTCTATTTGTGTCCAACTCTTCCAGCGTCAATCTGCTTGAGGCCTAAATGGACTTGACTTGATAGCACGAGCACACCAGCTGGTGCAGGAAGGCTACAAGTGCCCATGCGAAACATGAAGCCACGACACGCGTGGTGGAGGGCCTGTTCTTGCAGGTACATGTTTGGCGATACGCTTGGAGAGGAGAACAAGACCGGATTGCTAGTGACGGTCTGGCAGAAGCCCAAGTCTTGCATGTCTGGCTGGGTAGGGCCAGGTCAGTATTTGGATGCGCCTAAGGCTCGTTACCGGTTTTAAGGGTATAAGGGGCGGTTGCTTTGGTAATGCCTTTCATTCTGATCAAGGCTGACTCAACGGGCTGAGTATTCGACTCACAATGCAAGTCCTGCAAAAGGGGACCCTGCATCCACGCTGCCTGTTGAGGTCCGCTCCAAACTATTGCTACCGTTGTGGCAATGCCTGGGCCGCATCTTGGTGTGTTGACCTCTGGTGCAATGCAGCCGAGGTGGCCTCCATTCTGGATGTTGATGAGCGAGGGCATCGGGAGTGGTATGCTTACTAGCCAATCAAGGAGCTGAACTGCCTCAGTTCCTAATTTCCAAAGCTTTAGGAAGCGTAGTTTGACACAGAGAGTTTTTGCAGGCAAAGAGTTTGCTGCTACTTAGCCACAGAAGGATTGTTTATTTGTTTTGTTTCTTTGGCGAGGTTCCGAATCTTCCAGGAAGTACCTGCTTCCGCTGCTGCCGTCGGCAGCCTGGAAATCGCACGAGACTGCACGCGGCAGACAGAAGATGTTTAAAAAGGTGGTCAGGAGAAGGGGCTGACCCGTGGAATGAATCTTTGTTAGCTGATGTGACAAACATGTTGCCTTCACAGAAGGCACCAAGTGACACCAGGGCCTCAAACATGGGTGTCCTTTTGTGGCGGCCAGCCGCTTGAAACTACTTCAATGCGCCTGGGCTCAGAGCTGTCAACAAGCATGACAGTTCTTTGTGGATCATGCAGCTCTCCAGTTGCGAGGTGCCGCCTCGACAGCTGGTACCGTACTTCTTGTGATGGGCAAAGCGTTCCCTGGAAAAGTACGAAGCTGGCGGATCACAGCAAGAGACCTGATATTTGTCAGCAATTGTCGTCGCTTGTGATGTTGTATTTGCAAGCAGGTCGTCTTGCTGTCGTTGCTTGCTCACGGTGGCAAGCTGTGCTAATGTGCCATGTTCCCTTGAAGCCAGACACTGCGTGGCACGCCTCAGCATGTCAGCGGCCGCAAGGAATGGCTACTCGACTGGCAGGAAGCCAGTGACAGGTGCCAACGGCAGGTGTGGAAGTCATTTTGCAAATGCTCCATGCATGGCATGGCGAGCTGCAAATAACTTGCCACAACCAGAACTGCCTCATGCTGGCATGCAGCAGCCGAAGCATGCGACTGTTCTCGGGACACCGGCATTGCCATTGAATGCCAAAATGAGAGTGCAGAGAGTAGCACGGATGCTGAGTCCCCGTGTTTACGAATGGCTCCAACTTGCGGCAGCTCTAATGGAAGGAACGTCCACTTATTGCTTTCTTCATATACACGTTGTCGGCTCGAGTGCCAAAGCAGTCTTGGAGCAGCTGGCTGCAGGCATGCCGCTCCGTGTTTGCTTGTTTGACGGTTATGACGGTTGTTTGACATGTTTCCAGGCGATGGGGGAAAGCGACTCTCAAGAGGCGTCAAGCCCTCAGACGCGCACAGAACCCCGGGGATGCCGAAATCAGCGCGCAGCGATGATTCGGGGCGCCTTCGCGAGGCTGCGGCCTTTCATTGAAGCGGAAAGGGAGTTTGTGCAGCTGCAGGACAGGGGGTCCAGAGACAAGGGTTGCAATACCACGGGCAAATTGGCCATGCTCTAGCGAGCTGGGCAACGCACAACTCATTGGCTGGCAGTAGTGTCACGTAAAGCTCTTGTCTCTTGCTGCCTGTTCAAAAGTTGCTCTGTGCCTGGGGGGGGTTCCAAGGGAACGTGGCCACCATCTAGCCACTATTCAAGATAGGGGGGAGCCGGACCTGATCTTCTGGAGATGACAAGTTGAAACACAGATTGGTATGGTGCTTTTCTTAAGTCACCTGGGCGGGAGCTTTTGCGCGGCAAACGGGGCTCCGGGGCTACCTGGCTGCCCCGCCACCGAGCCGAGTCAGCCGGGGACCATGACGGCGCCGTGCGCTGCCTGGAAGCTGTGCTGCGCGCGGAGCAGGCCTTGGTGGGTTGTTGGCTCGTGCACAGTTCTGTAGGTTTATGTTGGATGTATGACACATCCTGACGATTCGTTTTGGCCTTCGCAACTAAATATATATATATATATAGTATCAGGGCTCCTGCTTTTGCCAAGCTTCCACACTAGCATGGTGAGCTCGCCAATTGCCCAAATGCTTGCGGACCAAGTAGCACCAAAGTGTGCCGTCGTGAAATCCAGGCGACGGTGCAGCGAATGCCGGACACCATGCTGTCCACGCTCTTTGAGCGCTTGGCGGTAGGCTCGACGTTGTCGACGGTCGTTGGTGGTGGCACCGAAGAGCTTCAGCTTGGACATGCTGCGTGACATGTGTTGATTTGTTTGATTGTTTTCCTGGAAGGGAGCAGCTCATGTGTCCTGTCCCAGTCTTTTTCTTTCTTGTTTTTGCGGCTGGCAAATCATGTTGCGGGGGCAACTAGGTCAAATTTAGTAGTTCGCAGTTGAGTAGTCGATGGCACAGCGAACTCCTTTCTAGAGCTGACGCTTGCCGCCTGAAAGATGCAAGTCTTTGCTCTCATGAACCCTGCAAGCATTGGGCAGCCACGGCAGACATTGGAGATTTGTCATAAATAAGAACGCATATGTTGTGATCTTATGTGGCTTGATTGCCCATTTCAGGGCAACTCTGTTCGGCGCTTGAGAGAGTTCAGGCTACAACACCCTGGGCATGAAGCACTTGAAGGACTTCCGAGCGGGATGGGCATAAGTTGAGACCTGCGAAACAGAGCGCCGACTTAACTCGATTTCGTCTTGCTCAAAGTTTAGCTGTTGGCTCCTGACGTCCTTCGGTCCAAACATTAGTCCACTCTTTAGTTCCGGATTTGGTGCCCCTCTTCACTCTGATGGCGGCATGTTTTGCCAAGGAACAGCTCAACGCAACACTTCTCGCGGTTTGGCTCAAGCAATTTTAGTTGAAGCACTCCACACAGTGAAGATCAGCTATGGGCGCTTGCGAGAGCAAGGCAACCAGCGAGAACGAGTTTCAGGTGGACCTAGCGAGGCATGCAAGCTTGCAGGGCCTATCGCTTACCACGACAGAGAAGATGGGCTGGATCCCCGACCTTCCGGATCACCGTGACCTTCACATGACATTCGCTAGCAAAGAGGCGCCCAAGGAAATCAAGAAGAAGAGTGAAGGAAGCAAGGAGATCGTGGATTTGAGACCTCTCAACGGCGGCTTTCCCATCTTCAATCAAGGACACTTGGGAAGCTGCACAGCGAATGCTCTGGCAGCCGCCTTCCACTTCAGTCTTCACAAGCAGACAGTAGAGGACCATGCCGACTTCAAAGACTTCACTCCTTCTCGTCTCTTCATCTACTACAACGAGCGGTATGTCGAGGGCAGTGTGGACAGAGATGCTGGAGCCATGCTGCGTGACGGTATCCAGGTCATGGAGAGGTTGGGAGTCTGCCCGGAAAAGGTGTGGCACTACGATGACAAGGATGGCTTCTTCAAGAAGCAGCCTGACAAGAACTGCTATGAGCTGGCCCAGAAGTGCAAGGTGAAGGGGTATGCCCACGTGGCACAAAACGTTGATCAAATGAAGGCTTGCATCAAACATGGCTATCCCTTTGTGTTCGGCTTCACTGTCATGACCAGCTTCTCCGGTGATGTTGCCAAGACGGGCAAGATGGTGATGCCCCAGCCCGGTGACAAGATTCGAGGAGGCCATGCTGTGTGTGCCGTTGGCTACGACGACTTCCAGCAGTGCTTCATCGTTCGGAACAGTTGGGGAGCGGAGTGGGGTGACAAGGGCTACTTCTACATGCCCTACGAGTACATTTCCAAGGAGAACCTTGCGCATGACTTCTGGGCCATCAACTGGGTGGAGGGCTTCAAGAATGCCGCGCCCAAGAAGTGAGAGGGCGAGGGGGTTCCCGGCTACAGCCCCTGAAGGGGTCGATGGCTTTCGGGTTGATTTGACATCACTTTGAGCTTGGGGTATCGCCACAGAAGGCGTGCATCCCTGAGGCTCTTCACTGTGAAGGCTGCGTAGTATGCACGCAGCCCACGCAGATCATTCGCACATCTCCCCCTGGGAAAAAAATCACGCCCGCTAGCCCGATGCTCAGCAGTTGGATGGAAGGAAGACTTTGAATAATCGGCGCAAGTCCTTTGCCAAGCAACACATTCCACTTGTTTGCGAATCACTCTACCCTCGTGAAATGGCAGGCGCGGCAGTGTTCCAAAGATGCACTGGCAGGGTGCTGCTCAGGGTTGAGACTTTCGTGTTTGGGCAGGCACACAGTGACCCGAAACTCTACTTGTCGGATACTACCTCGGGCTGGTGCAAACCAGTGCGTGCAACTTTTTCGATGCCTTTTAGCAGTAGCCGGGTAAAGCCTTTCGGTGGATTGTAAGTGCGGGTACAGATTGTGCTGGACTCGACCCTCGTAACGGTGGTGCGGATGGGTTACCGCACTTGCTGTGCTGGTTGCGATGCTGTGTGCACCGCAAGGTCCCGATACCGCTTGTTGCGTTTCTTGAGCCGGGCGAACACAAGTATACAGACCCATGGCAACAATATTTATCCAATGCCCTTGAGGACAACAACACTGATGTGTCCTGCAAGTTCTTTGAGAAGGCAGAGGCGCTGACAGACCCAGCCAATTTGCTGGAACCTTAGAAGAGTCTTCCAGCACATCACCCTGTATCAGCCAACATCATACGCAAGTTGGTTGTACAGTAAGAAGGAAGCATGTGACATAAAGTTCAGACGAGAACCATTGATACAAGAATGAGCTCCAAGGCATATGAACCCCGAGTCGCGCCTTGTTTTGAGAGCGGTGCATGCCTCGGTTTCTGCCAGCATACTTTGTTGTTTGTTTTGCTTGACTCTTGTTGAGGTGACCTACAACAACATGGGCTGCTTCTACAAGAGCTTTGGGAAGCTGCTGGTTGCGTTCAGCTTGATCTTCTTGTAAGATTGCAGGGGTTGGTTGAAGGGTGCTTTAGCCGAGCGTTTGTATTCTTGATAGCAAAGGCTACACACGGCCCTGCAGTATCTCAAGAAAGCTCAAAAGATTGAGGAGAAGTCGGAGACCAAGTCGACGCAGAGGGTCAGACTTGTGACGTTTGCCTTCCCCCCCATCGCTTGAAGATGAGGCAAGCCCAACTGGCGGCAAGATGCTGGCTCATGCATACTGAGGTCGCAGGGCAGATGCCAGAACCCTGCAGGCCGCATGAGACCAGACAAACAAAACTGGAGTGAACAACCATGCTTGTTATTACAAGCGCTGCTGAGATCCCTAGGTTTTGAGCAGCTCCTGTACCGTGTTTGGTCATGAATCTGCTTGTCTGACCATGATTCATCCGCTGGGACTGGATGTGGGAAGGCAACAGGGCAACACTTGCAGCCCTGCAGGCACACACCTGAATCTTTGCGCTCTTCTGTCTCAGATGGGTAAGCACCAGGAGGCGTCTGCATGCGGGGGGTGAAACTCGAGAAGGTCAGGTGGCTCAAGGATATTCCGTTGGAATGCCATCAATTTGCAAACAGCTGGTTGTGGCGCCCTGATAAACGGGCAGATTACCACAATGCAGTTTTTTCGGTTTTATTGCTGCATCGCTACCACTTTGATTTGATTCACAGGTGGGTATAGATTGCTTGATGAATGCAAACATGGCCATCCTGATCCTGCTCCCGCAGGCCCTGCAACACGCAGACAAGGCCCTCAAAAAGCTGGAGGCGCCGTGGCGAGAGATTCGAGAAGCTTTTGCTCTTCCCGGGCGAAATGCCTCGCAGGCTGCCCAGTCACAGCCTGCGCCCCAAAGAACCCGCGGCCGATGCGTCCGTCGGTCGGGGTGGGTTTGCGCCGTTCGCCGGATTTGAGGCCTCCCAAGGAACCGGAGGGCGGCTTGGCGGAATGGGGATCCGACGTTGCGCGTGTGTTGCGAGTGGTTGGGATGTTGGCTATGGGTCAAAACCGTCTTGGGATGCCATTTTGGGGTAGGTGCACGACACATTTTAGGCTTTATTTTAGTGGGGATTGGGATGTTCACTGGGGGTCCAGGGTTTTGACCCACAGTCATATTGGCCCCATCTTTGCCCCGCGCTTTGGTGCCTTTGGTGCAAGAGATTCAGGCTTGCCCCCGGGTGGCAGCACCAACAGTGAGAGCTTGATATGCCGGGGCCCCTAGTGTGCAACTGAAACAATCAGATCCCATGATCCTTCAGGTGTTGCATACTTCAACATGGGCGCTGAATACGAGCACCTGAAGAAGCCAAGTGAAGCATTATGGCACTATCAGAGAGCCCGGGCCTCAAATCCGGCATGAGTTGATGCCTGGGAAGCAACTGGGCAAGGCGTACGACAGCTGCCTACAGGAGCTGGGGGAAGAGTGAGGAGCTAAGAGACGGATCGAGGGCCTCGCTGGCCGCATGTCTCGCTCGTGGCAAGCACCAAGAGAACCTGTTTGACTGATATCACGCGACGATTCTTGACACGGTCAAAAAGCGCCCTGTCCACACCCAGCCATTGTCAGAACCATCAATTTGCCGTTCTCGGACCGATCGCGATGAAAGCGACCTAGGCATCCCCTGAGCCAACAGATCAATGCCTGCGTGGAGCAGCTGCAGCAAAGGCTGGAGACTTTTCCGGGCGTCAGCTTTGGAGGGCAGTGGATGAGTTGAAATGTGGGAAAGTGGAAGGCATGCATGGGGAGGGAGTGGAGGAAGAGCATGCAACGCACGGATGCTGGAAGGGTATCAGAGGGAGAGAGAGTTGAGTGAGCCTGTCGAATGCCGTTTACAGAAAAGCTGCTGTATGACCAGGATTGTATAGCTGTCCGACTATTTTTCAACAATTGAATCCCTGTTCTTTCGCTTGCCTTGTGAGACTGCCTTGTCACAAACATTGATTGCAAAGTGCTAAGTCTTAGCTAGATCAGGGCGAAGCCAAAAGCTGCAAAGCCCTGAGCCTTCGTTTCACAAATTGCGGGTCTTGCACCAAGCCTGACCTTGGCGTTCAGCTATTGTGACCCGTGCCGTTGCTTTGCTTGTTGAAAACAGATCTTCCTCCACCTTCATGCGACAAAAGTAGGTTGTTGCTTCATTTGTTCTACTTTCCGCATCCCGCAGGTTTCACATTTTATCGCAAGAATCGACTAAATTCCTGCCACCATGCAGACGCAGTCATATTAAAAGCATTTTGTCATGTTGACACACACACACACACACAAGCACACACCACACACCCAAACACGCGCACATGCTGTGTTATATCAACATTTCAAGTGTTCAGGTTTCACCATTCGCCGCTGGACTAGTTGTTGGAAGCAGTTGCATGCCTAGATCCTGGAGGCGGTGTTCAGAAATCAAGTGTGCCTGACGCTGGCATAGAGATTTGCAGACTGCTGTGCTTGAGCAATGCAGCTGTGCAATAAAGTCGTAGAACTCTTCTGTTGACCAAGTGAGCAGAAACACGACTCTACTTTTAGGCTGAGCGTGTTGCAAGTTCCAGGCAATGATGTCGAAGACCTTTCATTAATGTATTGGAACTTGGAAGGCTCTTTCCACGCTGTTTGCCGCAGCCTTTGACCTTTCATGAAGGTGCGCGAGCAGTGGCCCGAATCCAACATAATTGTTCCTTGAAAGCCAAGCCAAGCAGGATTTTGCGAATTCAGACACAACAGGACAGCCAAGAAGCATATCGTTGAGAAGCAAACAACTGAGCCAAGCCTATGCCGCATTTGCAAGACAGTCTACAGCTTTGAAGCAAGCATTACCGAAGTGTCGGCCCGTTCTCATCGCCTCGTCAGGATCTCAGGTCCGACGCTGGCACTGAGCCGACAAAAGAAACAGAAGTCGCACCGCTGAGGCATGGAGCGGAACAATAAGATCGCACTTGCCGCTGGTGGCATTGCTGCAGCAGCCGTGTTGCTGTACCTTTTCAAGGCTGCAACGAGGGATGTTTTTCGCAGCTTTCTCTTTTTGCGAGACGCCTCGGCCAGGCGCGGAAACATGCAGGTTCTTTTGAGGATGCCTCAAAGGAGCAACCGCGGGGAGCGTCCTGTCACCCGAAAAAAACGCCGGGCAACCCTGAGGAGGGCAAGAAGAAGGAGAAAGCAGTGGAAAGCGAGGAGAAATGATGTCCAGAGTTTAGCACTGGGCAGATTTGCAACGAGTCAAGGCACATTCCTGACAAGGATGCAGCCAAAGAGAAGTTGAAAGACATTCTCAAAGAGATGAGTAAGTCGCATGTGACTCGGCAAGCCAGATCTTTCAAATGAAGGGCACTACCAAAAATATAATTGCCTTTTACGGAAGGAGCAGATGAAGGTCTTCATCAAGGATCTGACGCAGGACGGCGGCCCTTCCTTGCGTCGTTTTTCGTTTCCGCTTCGCTTCGCTTCGTTCTTTTTTTTTTTTTTTTCCAGATAGCTGAAAGCTATAGGGGTTCTAACTTCTAATAAAGAGGGGAAAGTGATTTGCGAGACTGACGGCTGTGTGCTAGGGGGAGGGGAGGGTGGTGCAGATGTTGTTAGGGTGTGCCGTTTGGGGAGCTGTTTGTGGTGCAGGTGACGGTGCGGGCGCAGTTTTCCAAGATTGGCCGGGTGCTTTCGGGCATGCAGTGGTGCTGGTGCAGGTGCTGTTTTGGGAGTGCTTGTGCCGGGTGCGGGCGCACGTTTATGAGATTGATGGCAGGGTGCAGGGGGGTGCTGTTTGGGGGTGCTGCTCGGCGCAGCCGTTTGGGGTGCTGGTGCAGGTGCTGTTTGGGGTGTGGCGTTTTTGCAAGATTGATGGCAGGGTGCTTGGGGGTATGCAGCTTCGGGTGCTGTTGGAGGAGTGCAGGCGTCCGGGGGTGCTGTTAGAGGTGCTGGTGTGCAATCCTCCGGCTGTTTTTTGCCATTTGAGCCACAATCAAAGCCGGGGTAGATGAAGGTTAGTAAGGGACGATTTCAACCATAAATAGCTGCGGCCGCATTCTTAATTCTTTCCATGGTTTTGGGTAGACAGTTTTATAACCGGGTTTTGATTGTGACTCATTTGGGGTCTACGCTGGTGTATTTTTTGTTCCGCAGGAGCTCCGTGCCAAGCCCATGAGCTTGGTGGAGACCTGCGCGCGGGTGAGACAAGTACAGCCCAAGGCTCAGAGGGACGTAACGAGGGGCGAGGCGGGGGGCGACTGGAGGACATGGGGGTTGATCCAAAGGGCCCATAGAACATGGGATGAGGGGGGCAAAAACTGATTCGAAGGTCCTTTCCATGCCCAGCTGGTTGGAAACCACAAGAAGATGTCATTGCCTGTCGGCAATATTAAAAGGTGGTTCCCTTGGATCCCTGTCGGCCATTCGATCGAACTCTCAATCCGGGATGCTGCGAAAGTGGGAGGATGGCAGGCTGCTATCTCCGAGGCCCGAAGATCCTTTGGAAAGGCATGGGCTGCGAAGCACCCAGTTGCTCGCATGCTGTTCATTTCCGCTTCAAATCTGACATTTGATTCAGATACAGGGCTAGGTGATAGGTCAAGCTTCGTTGTTTTCGTTACTCTGTGTAGACACTACTCATCTTTTTTTGCTTCTCAGGAAGATGATGGACTTTGACAAACTCCTAGAGAGGCATCAGCAGGATAACGAAGTCCGCACAGTCCTGAGCTTTAACGGCCTGGTCGGAGGCCGTTCGACGGACGGTTTGTGCCAGGTTTCCGGCAGCACACACACACACACATGCTGACACAAACGCAGAGGCACTCCTGGGCAACACTATGCGCAAAGTTCCGGAAGTAGACATGCCCACTTGAACCGTGACAATGGCCGGGCTCGGAAATGAATGCAAGCAACATAAAGCCATTTTCCTCTCCCGCCAACTAACATGGAACTTGACAGTGGGGTCCTGGAAGACTATTGCCTGTGAAAGCGACCCCCTGTCAACATTCCATGTTAATTGGTGGGAGGGTGTGTTTGCAGTTTATTGCTCAATAAGGCGATGCTATTGCCAAGATCATGAGCGCGCAAGGGGCCTTGGTGATGCAAGCGCTTTGGGCTGCGTGCTGCAAACAGTGATGGCTTGCTGCTTTCGTTCAAGCAAGCTGCGCTGGTTTGCATGCCACCTGCGGAAGTTGCGAGTTTGTGACGGCGACCGAGCTTGAGGCCGACTCCAAACAGCACAGCGTCAGAGAGGATCCAGGCTTGGCAACAAGTTCGGGGCTCCTGGGTCTAGCTGGTGGTTTGAAGGCAAGGAGCTGGGGGTATCCATTTTTTGAAGAGGGAGCTGAGCTACCAGTTCTGGAAGGACATGGTAGGGAACAAGGAAACATCACATTGCTAGAGCCCTCTTGCTTCAACCGATGAGATTCAACCAGTCGGCCCAGCTCCGAGGTTTTTGTTTTTCTCGCGGATGTTTTTTTTGTGTGCGTCCTATTTGGCTGGAAGCTGGAAGCTAAAGAAGCGGCTGCGGCTGGCCATCTCGACGTTCTGTGATTGCAAGTTCATGTTTCTTTGTTTGATTTCTAGCCGATGTCCAGCTAGATTGCGGACAAAAAAAGAAACAAGCGCAGGCCATCAGTGTCAAGGACGTCATTGACGTGCACAAGTTTATGCTGCAGGCAGTGGCCGAACCATCCTTGTGTCCAGTTCTTTGCCTTCTCGTCCTGTGCACCTTCGCGGGCCTCGCTTGAGGAGCTGGAAGCTCTCATCGAGGAGTACAACCGCCTGCCAGACACGAAGGACTGCCGGCGGTTGAAGATCAGAGCGGGGCGCACCCTTTGGGGCGCTCAGATTGAAACTGAAGGAATCTCCGAGTCCCAGCTCCAGACATCTTTTTAGTTCCCGAATCCCTTGTTCTTACTGAGACAATCCGAGTTGCTACATTGTTGCTGAATCCGCCCATTGAGATGCCAAAGCTGCCGGTGCTTCATGCAATTGTGCCAGAGAGAATCTATATTTTGACTTGGCCCAGAGTTTAAACATTTGAACGGCCGCATTCACTTGATGGCGTGGACAAAGTACCAAGGTAGCTCCTCATTGTCGCTAGTTGCGTCGGATATTTCTGAGAGCATTGCCAGGACCTGGATGCCAGGACGGTGACGATAGCAGCACAGGCGCCCGAAATCCCTGTTTTTAGTGCTTGATATATAGGCCCACCCCATCTTAAGGCTGCTTTGCAAGGGCATTCCCCAAGTCCGAACTTGGTCGAAAGTAGATGCCGCTCACTTGTTTTTTCTCCGCCAAACAAGTGATGCAGACTTGCCAAGAGAGCAGCCTCCAGATATGTAAAGCCTACCTGAAATCCTTTTCTTATGCAGGCGATTGTTGGCGCCCGATTCGAAGAAGAGTTCAATATTACCTCAGAGGCCAGATGAGAATTTCTGCGTGCAGCTTTTCATGCTCTGCATAGCAGCAGCGCGCAAGGGGAGCTTCATCAGTTGCGAACTCTGCACGTGGCAACACACACACACACAGGATATTGAGAGTGCAGTTCTGACCTATCATGCGCCCGCTCCCAAGGAGTTGCAAGCAAGAGCTGAGCAGACGGGTGATGTTAAAATCATGTGTTGTCAAGGGATGACACTGGGGACACTTCTTCAATTGCCACTTCTCAAGCTGCATAAGTTGGTACTACTCACCACATTTCTATGTCAATTGCGTATGCTGAATTGGACCATGGCTCACATGGCCCATCATACTTCTTGGCTTGTGCTTGCTTTGCACGTTCTGCCCAAGGAACTTGGCAACAGACCAGGACTTTGCTCAGGTGAACATAAAGATTCAACATGCCATGAGCAACGGCCTTAAAATCTGCTTTTCTCAGTCAATGATGCTGGTTACTGGTGAATTCAAGCGATTCAAGTTATCACGGCGTCATGTTTGCTGATGCACCTTCTTCCAGGCCGACTGCTGGGTACTCCCTTCACCCCAAGCTGAGCTTGGCACTGGCTTTGCCCAGCTGGGGATGGAGACAGGATCTGGGAAATGCGGCACGTCCAGAGTGAGCCGTTTGGGGCAGGTGTTGGGATGGCACAGCGGTTTCTCTGGGACACCCATGGAACCTGTTCCTGAACCGCAAAGCCACTGGAGAATTCCCATTGGGGGGAATGCTGGAGATGTGGCCGTGCAAAGCCTCGCTCAAACAGACCGTTCTGTGCACAGCTCCGGCCCGCGCAAAAAGTGACCCCATGAAGCACTCTGTTGAGAGCCTGGACTCTGAAAAGAGGAGAGGCCATGGGTCAAAATCCCGTACCCCCCGTGAACATCCCAATCCCCACTAAAATAGGTTCTAAAATGGGTGGTGCACCTACCCCAAAATGGTACCATTGGTTTTGACCCACAGCCAAGAAAGACCTGAAGCTTCGGACAGTGCTTGACAAGCATGATTGTTCCCAGCCTACGCTGCCAGAACACTTGTGCGCTTCGAAGTGTGCTGCCTTGCTCAGGTTTGCAGGACTCAGATTTCACGTGCGTTGTTGTTGGCCCGCTCCACAGTCCGTCGCAAACCTTCACTTTTTCGCAGACCATCTAGTGATTACTGGATTCATGACCGAGTGATGCCAGTAAGCATTTGTTCAAGCACGTGAAGCATCGGTTGCACTTTGTCGCGATGGAGCAGCGTGCAGCGTGAAAAGAACAGGCAGAACCAAACAAGCAGAATGAGTGGACACAAAATCTGAAGTGCAGCAATGCTTCCCATGTGCAACCTTGACGGCTGATGGCTTTAGGCTGGAACTCAAAGGGCACTTTGTCTCTAGTGGCTGCTAAGCTTTTGAGCGCATGCATGAAGACCAGAGCGCAACTGGAGTGTCCTTGCGGAGGCGCTCGAGAAGACATGCCAGGCCGGCTTGCGCTTTTCGGCTTTGCGGGATGTTGTGTCTCAAAGGTGAAGCCGGGCTGGATGGCTTGAGCACCGCCGAGCTTCAGAAGGCTGCGATGGGTGCAGTGGTGCAATATGGCTGTGCTTGTCAAAACCGTTCTGGGATCTCATCTTGGTTGGGATTGGTGAATTCACCACCCGGTTTAGATTCCCTATTTTAGTGGTTGGATTGAAACTCGGATCACTGGGGGCCAACCGATTTGGGTTTTGAAAAGCCCATGGCCATGCAGAAGCTCCGCGCTGAGAGGCCCTGGAAGCCGAGCGCCGCGTGTCCGCAAGCTTGAGGCGCGGTAAACAAAAAAAAACAAACAAACAAGATCTGCGGCGCCGGAGGGCTTTTGTTTGTCAGGGTGGATTTGCCCATTTTTTTTTGATTTTTTGATTTGCCGATTTTGCCGATTTGCCGATCTTTGTTGGTCAGGGCGGAGCTTCAGAAGGCGCAGGAGGAGATCCAGCGGCTGCGGGTCTCCAACTTGCTCTGATGTTCGTCGAACTCGACGTCTCCCGCCCGAGGCCTTGACATGTCGACCTGGGAGCTGGGCTCAGCGTGGTTTTCCGAGCCAAAGGCGGGGCCTGAGCTCAGGTCGCCGGACAACGCAGCTGGCCATGCAGATGCGACTGGCAAGGCGGACTTGGAGGGCTTCACACGGCTATGGTGTAAGCAGTGGATTTTGTTCTGAGCCGGCCATGGAGCAAGACGCTTATCTTTGACAATCCGCAAGTCAGCTGAGGTTACTATGGTTTTGAGAAAGCTTGTCTTCGAATTTCACTTGATTGGACGTGAGAAGATCCGTTTCCACCATACAGAACATGGTCAGAGATTCGATACGAGCCGTTTATGTTCTCGGGTCACAATACGATGCCGAATTGTGATGCATTTTCTGTAATAACAATCTGCTGGTCAAGTATTTGTCTACCCCTTCACTGGAATGAGGGAAGGAGGCAAGCAGCCGAGCAACAATTTGCCACAACACTTCTACCGCTGAATGTCGAATATAATGACATAGTGACGTTGCATGGCTTGCATGCTGAATGGAAGTGAAGTTGACTTCGATGTGGTGCAGGTGGAGAAATTGCATGACGCCCCAGCAGCGACTGCAGACGTTCGAGAGGCGCTTCGTTTATCTTTAGTTTTCTCACGACTCGATGACTAAAGTGGGAGCTGACGCAAGATACATGACCATGACCCCGTGATCCGTGCATCACTTCACATAAAGCTGAGTATCGTGCGTCGTTTGCGAGTGGTTCTGGCATAGTCTTCTGGCCAGGAGGCACCTGCTGCACAGAGATTGAGCTCTGGGCTGCACCCCCAGCGTTCTGCTCATTCCATGTATCAGCAGCTGGTGCCTTGAGGTCGGATGAAGCGACTGCTGCGAAAGGGTCATACGTAAAGGCGGCAGGGAAGGCAGGGAAAGAATTATATATATATATATATATATATTGAAGCACAAGGCTCCTTTTTGGAGCGCGGAAGCTGTCCTTTTCGGAGGTGTATTGGGTCAGCTACGAGGACCCGGAGCAGCTCATCCGGCTCCCTTCGGTTGGACGCCAAGGAGCTAGACACAGCTCAGGCGATCGGCTGAGCAGGTCAGTGACTGCCTGAGGCCAGGATGTCCGGGCAGCAAAGGCCCAGGGGAGTGGTTTGGAGGTCAAACGTGCAGGGAGCATTTTTTGCATGTTGGATAGACACAAGGTCTTGCTGTTTGCGTGCAAATTCGTGATTGGCAGGGCAGCTCTGTGAAGTGCGGATTTGGCCAGAGCCCTTTTCAAAACATCAGCCTTCCGGGATTCCGCGACCTCACGTTAGAGCCATGGGTGACGAGAAGAAGAACGGCCTTACCGTGCTGGTCTGCGGCGGAGGCAACGCAGCACAGGTGGCCACCTCCATGTTCGCGGCGCGGTACGACACTTACGCGATTTCGCTGTATGCGGATGAAGCGGCCAAGTGGAAGACCCACATGCAGGGCTCGCGCTGGCATGACAAGGTGGACGGCATGGAGCTCACCCTGGACACAGGCAGACAACTGGAGAAAGCGAGAGAAAACGAGAACTGAACAGGCGAGACGAGAACTGAACTCGGCAGTCTTCCGGCGTAGGATCAATCTACTTTTTCTCAACTGGCATGCTCCTTTGGCACGAAAGCTAGCTATGGTAGAATCGAGTTCTTCTTGCTTTAGCATTTTCGGGGGGCTGATCCGGCTTCCCAGATAAAGCCGGGGGGGGGGGGGGTACTGATTCGAATCGATTCTCTTTACTACGGCCCCCCCCCCCCCCCACTCCCCAGGGAGGGCGAAATGTCGGCCACATTGCTTGCGGCTTTTTTCATTCAGACCTGGCGCAAGTTCGGAGGGAGAAAGTTTTGGCAACCAATGAGTCGTACATGTAGTTGTTGGGCTGGCGAGCTTTTGTTCATCCGCTTCTCAAGTTTCGATTGCTCCGGGTCCACGACGAGCCTCGTGAATGCCATGCGCAGACCCAGCTAGTTGTTTCCTTTCTCAATTTCTCACTTTGCTGCCTGATCTTGGACCCAGTACTTTCTTTGAAGGGGTTGCCGCCTAAGGCCTGTTTCTTTCTTCTAAAGTTCTGGACTCTTAGCCATGGTGTCCCAGGCAGGACTGTGGTCTCAACACCCACCGACATCACCAACGACCCCAGCCTCGCCGGCAAGGCGGATGTGATCATCTTGGCGGTGCCTTCCTTTGCCCACGGCCAGTACTTTGAGGCGGGGCTTGCTTCCGGCAAAACGGGGAAGTCGTAAGCGTGAAGGACTCGAGTCTCCTCACTCCTCTCTATATCCCGTCCTCTCTCTTCTTCATTTATAAATTGGGACGGGATACTGAGAGGAAGGAATGGCTCGCTCTCTTCCGCCATTATGATAATATTTAAGAGATGGTGGGCGAAAGAGAGACAGAGAGAGAGAGAGAGAGAGAGCGAGTAATAGAAAGAGGGAGAGAGGGAGAGAGAGAGAGAGAGAGAGAGAGAGAGTGAGGGAAGGAACGGTTGGGATGTGAGTTATATCCCCAAGCCTTCGTATTCCTCGCACATCCTCGATACACATACTTTAGAGCCTCCGGCTCAGTCCGCCGACATTGTCCTCTCCCTTTTCTCCTCCTTCCTCTCTCCCTTGTCTCCCTCGTGTGTTCTGTCGTCCTCTCTCCCTCCCTCTGCTCCCCATCCTCCCCATCCCCCCAAGCCTCTCTCTCCTCAATCTCCCTCTCTCTGTCTCTCTCTCTCTCTCTCTCTCTCTCTCTCTCTCTCTCTCTCCTTCTCTCTCTCTCTCTCTCCTTCTCTCTCTCTCTCTCTCCTTCTCTCTCTCTCTCTCTCCTTCTCTCTCTCTCTCTCTCTCTCTCTCTCTCCTTCTCTCTCTCCTTCTCTCTCTCTCTCTCTCGCTGTCTCTGTTTCTCTGTCTCTTTCTGTCTCCCTGTCTCCTTCCTGTCCACGCCCGTCTACAGAAAAAGGGTACCCTAATTCGAACCTCTCTACTCTCTCACTTTCTCGCTCTTTCTCTCTGTCTCTCTCTCTCTCTCTGTCTTTCTGTGTCTCTCTTTCTCACTCTCTCTCTTTCTCTCTTTCTCTCTCTCTCTTTTTCTCACTCTCTGTGTCTCGCTCTCTCTCTCTCTCTCTCCCGCTCTCGTCACGTCCCCCCTGTCCGGGCACTGCTGCATGACCCTGAGCTGTCATCTCACTACTGGCTTTCCCCTTTATTTCCCCTTCATGTCCTTTTCACGTTTCCCATGATGTCCTGATCCTGTCCCTTCCATGCCTTTCAACTCCCCCTTCATGTCCCTGACATTTTCTCGGTATGTCCGCTTCATTTTCCATGTATGTACCGTGCTTTCGTTGCGAGTCATTTCCCTACATCTACCGTCGTGCCGATTGGTTTCCTTGTGCTTTGTTTCCGCTCCCCTTGTTTTCATTTCTGTCCCTTGCATGTCCCTTTCAGTTCCCCTTAATTTCCCTTTCATGTCCCGCTGCTTTCCTGTCATGTCGACTTCCTATTTTCTCCCCTCATTTCCTTGCACTTCCTTGCATTTCCCCTTTGCTCCCCAATGTTTCCCGCAAAAAACATGGTTTTTCCAGCGTTTTCGCAATTAGAACATCCAAAAACACAGAGTTTTTCCAGATTTTCGGCAAAAGGAGGCAGGAACCCCAAACCAGCAACGAGCCGGCAGGGGGACTCCCCGAAGACTACGTTTAGTGGAACGTCATCAAATTGCCGCGCGGTCCTTAGGGGGGGGCCCCCCCCCACATATCAGACGTTGGGTGGGGGGGGGGGTTCGGGGGGGGTTATCCTCTATCCTCTCTTAGGTGTCCGACACGCCGAGCAATGTCGGCGGATATATATATATATATATACATATGTATATGTATATATATATATATATACATGTATAGATATATATATATACATATGCAGGCTTAGTTAGGCGGGAGAGGACAAACTGGCTCAAATACTCTGATGCTTCTGACGCATGCGGCCATCAAACGTGGTCCCGTATCAGGCAACTCGCGTACACAAAGAAACGCGGCCCAACCTTGCGCCGGGTCACTACAACGTAGGGCGGTAGGCAGTTCAGCCGCATCTATCGCCAGAGCAGCAACGCCAATCATGCGACAGAGATTAGGGACACATGTGGTACTGAGCCGAAGTGACACATGTGGTACTTCCCTGCACTGGTCATGCAAGATTTCCGGAGCAGAAGCTGCCGCAGGCCGCTCTTGACGTAGCGCGAGATTGAGTTAATGCAGGGGCCTCCCTGTGGCGCAGATGGCTCTCCCTCCAAATCCAAGGGCTCAGATCTACCGGCACCGGGGGTGCCAGGTGGGGCCAGCGTGTCTTTTTTTCCCCCCACGTGTTGTTCGGTATTGACGTGTGGTCAGTCCTTGGTCGCTCTCCAAGCGGGTTCTCAAGCTTGCTCCTTCCCTAGCAATTTCCAACACCACCAAATTCAATTACTTTGGGAAAATCCTTGATCTTCATGCGCAAGACGTGACGGAGGGCTGTTCGTGTGATGAAGCCTCACACTTCCTGCTTTCCACTTCATGCAAGTCCCTCCTGAACTCAGCTGAGATCGACAAGATGGCTTTTGCGTTTCCGGACATGCCTGAGCAACAGACACGCCACCTGCCTTCCGGTTGGCTGGCGATCACCACCTTGGTGAATATCGTGGCCTCGCCCACAATCTTCACAAGCGCTGCCGATACATGCCGAGTTTGGGCTTTGGTCCGTGGGTGTCGCCTAAAACCTCAAGCTGTTCGAAAGTGAAATCGCACGACGTTGGGCTGCCTTCCATGGCATTTTCGCGGGCACCTGTCGCGCGTCCCCCCTCCTCCCCCACCCTTAAAAATCCAAGAGGGTTGGAACTGGGTGGAAGCCTAGTTTTAAACTCCATTGCCGCTGATGACCTTGGGCACTTCTAGCTAGAAATGGAAAGAATATGGAAAGGAATTGGACAGGAAATGACAAGGACATGGACAGATCGATTTGTGAAAGGCCTTCTACCCCTACATCAAGCCGGGCACCATCGTCGCTTGCATGCCTGCGCGCTCGGGTGGCGACATCCTTTTTGCTTCCAAGATGAAGGAGAAGGCGGGGTATACAGGGCAGCCCATTGTCCCTCTTCTTGATTTCCTATTGGACACATGGTATCCTAGAATTGCCACTGGTTGTGTGTAGCCTCTCCCTCGTTCTGGTTTCGCCCTTGAGGAGCTTCAACATTGACCCTCTTGATAGCAGAGGCTGCCACCCAACGTAGACACCAGTTGGGCCTTATTTTATTTTTATTCATTTTTTTCCGCGTTGTCATTGATGAATTATGCTCCCTCTAAAAGGTATGTGCCCATCCCCGCCCTGGGTTTCTTTGACTTTCCACCGCAGCTTTCCTTTTTTTCATTTTTTTCTTTCAACCAACACAATGAAGATGTAATTTTTGACAGTGGGGCCAAGCCAATATTTTGGCAATCATGAGTTTTTGTCACTCACTTTTGGAGTGCATCCAAGGCCTTACTGTTTGAACTTGAGAATCACTCAACACATTTTTCACGATGCATTGTGGTCAGAACATGCCTGCCTCGAAAGCCACCCAAGCTAGCTCAGGAGGTCAATGATCCTTTGTCGCTTTGTCGCTGTTCCTTGATGTTTTTGCAGCCTTGTTAGCCACACTTGCAGACTTGCATCAGCCGGATACTCCGTCAGCACTGCATGCCTCCTGGCTGCTTGCCCAAAACCCACGCAACCTTGTAGCAACCTTTGCTTGCAGCGCTTTCTCCTTCAGTTGCTTTGTGCCAAACGGTTGCACAACCGCATTTCAGTGCGAGCTTGGCTCTGTGCAGGTGAAGCCTGAGGGTGCTTGAATGCTTCATTTGCGACTCTGATCTGTTAACAGCACCCCATGGGTGGTCATTTAAATCACCAGAGGACCGCAGGTTTAGTCCAGGTTTCCATTTACCACGGCAACCCATTTTGGGGTTACCCCATGCAGGTTTAGTCCAGGTTTCCATTTACCACGGCAACCCATTTTGGGGTTACCCCATGTTTGACCCACAGCCCCATGACCTCGAACATGACAAGGCTCCAAGGCCGGAGTCAGACATGGCCATGGGTCAAAATCCAAATCGGTTGGCCCCCAGTGAACATCCGATTCAATCCAACCACTAAAATAGGTTTTCTAAACCGGGTGGTGAATTCACCTATCCCAACTAAAATGGGGGGATTCCATTGGTGTTGACCCACGGCCAAATGAGTCAAAGTTAAAACCCCTCGGTTTTTGCTCACAGGCTTTTGGTTAGCCCAGCCGACCAAAAGGTGGGATCGGTGTACCAAACCGGTCAAAACGACGACAGCCGTCAGCTCGATCGACATGTCCCGTCGGCTCGATCAGGCCGACTCCCTGGCCTTCGTGGGCTTCGAGACGCTGCCCTGGGCCTGCCGCTTCACGGAGTGGGGCAAGCGCGCCACCATCCTGGGCACCAAGGGCCAGGCGTTTTGCGACGAACTGTGGCCATGGGAAAAGTTTTGCAGAAGCCAAATCGGTTAGGTTCCAGTGAACATTCGATTCGGGTGAATTCACCAACCAGCCAAAATGGTACCATTGGTTTGACCCACAGCCATACGCACGTGCACACCACTTTCTCTGAGAGAGAGAGAGAGAGAGAGAGCGAGAGAAAGAGAGTCAGAAAAAGATTGGTTGGAGGGCCACAAAAAAGATTGACAGGCACTTTTGCTTTGTTTCTTTGGGATGAGCAGCAAATGGCTTGGTGCGCAGATCCTGGCGGCAGTGACGCCGGAGTCGCAGTCCACCCGCGCCCTCGCAGTGCTGCAAGGCCTGCTTGGCGTGTTCCCGGAGGTGGTGAAAAGCCCCAACAACCTGGGCATCAGCCTGCGAAACCCCGGCCAGGCCGGAGATTCAAAGCATGGGGAGCATTGCACTGAAGAAACCAATGCAGGGTTAGTGGAGCGTGTCCCATCTCCCATCATTCACGTTTGGGTGCACCCACGCTTCAACCCGTTGATGTCCCTTACACGCAAAGTACAGCATCGCGGGCGCGCATGTCTCGTGCCGCTTTGCAGGTGATCCACCCGGGCGTCATGTACGGCCGCTGGTGCGCGGAGAAGTGGGATGGCAAACCTCTGGCTGAGAAGCCCCTCTTCTACCAAGGCGTGGATGACTTCACGGAGGGGGTGCTGCTGGGCTTGTCCGGGGAGGTGCAGGATGTGTGCCGCAAGGTGGAATCCATGGTGCCTTGACGCGGTGTTTTTTCATTTTTTGTTCGCCTGCTCAACGGCTCGCGAGGAAACGCTCGGCGGTCCTATGAATTTCTTGGCTCATGCCTGTAAAGTTCAACAGCAATGCTGCTTGCCGGTTGCTCGTGAGCTCTTGCCCAGGTGCCCGGCTTTGATTTGAAGGATGCCTGCACTTTGCACCAGTGGTACTTGGACTCCTACAAGGGGCAGATGGCGGATGACTCCACTCTGAAGCTGTCCATGAACACCAACAGTGCCTACATCGGGCTCACCCATCCCATGAATGCTGTGGCTTGGACGCATGCTTTCTAGCCTTCTTCACAATTTTTGGTAGACGCTTCACGTCTCGAGACAGCACAACAAAAAACGCGGATGATGCCGAGACCCATGCCTCCCCCCCTCCCCCGGCCGAAAACCCCCCGAAAAGCCCCGTAGAAAACCCTTCGGAAGGCGGACGGCGGCTTCTTGCCGGACCTGAAGTACCGCTACCTGGCCGAGGATGTGCCCACAGGCCTGTGCTTCACTCGCGGCCTGGCGGAGCTCCTTGAGGTGCCCACACCCACCATGGACAAGGCGGGGGCCATGGGCCGAAAGCAAAGGGCTGCGTTTTTTGTTTTTTTTTTTGTAATAAACAGGTACCAAAATGGCATCTTGGTATACCTTAGTAAGTTGAACCGAAGACAAAGACCTGCGTAGCCCCAGCTCTTGAGTTGTGAGCCACACCCACCTTTTGCCACCAGGGGCGAGCTACAAGGTATTCAATGAACATGTCGAGGAACGGACGTGCTTAATGGCACTTGGCAAATCAGCCGATTATAGGTTGGGAATGGAAACGCATGATATGGAACGAGGATGCAGCTCTAAGGAAGTATTTCTTGCTATTTTGCCACCTTGATATTCACTTGACACGCAGGAGTCCACGGAGTTGTGCTTTGCCAATTTGCCCTTTAGGTCATTTCTTTTGCACAAGAGTGCTTGGGCAAGAGCTTCCTGGTGGATGGCAAGATGGCTGGAGCTGACATTCCTGCAACCCGAGCACCCCAGTCTGTCGGCATTCACACCAAGGAAGAGTTCTTCAAGATGGCCAAGATTGCTTGAGCTGTCGCCCATGTTTCCAGAGCTGACCATTCAAATCGGCCGTTGCCAGTTCAGGGAATGGTGCTCACACTCGGATGCAAGTAGCATACAACCTTCTGCGCATTGCAATGGTACTTTCTGCCTTTTTTGCAGTGCCGTGCAGACTCGATTCACCGATTTTACTGCCAAGAAACCTGGCCTGGCCAGCCGAAGCTGCTGAACAGAGTTCGCGGTACTTGGCACACAATCTGGACTTTCCATCTCTCTTGAGCATCTGATGCAAGCAAAAGGCTGAGGCTCGTGCCGGTCATGCCAGGTGGTTAGTAGGGCTGCAGATCGAAATCATCGCCCTTTGTCGTGCAGGCCTGCCGCTCGAGAGGTGCGGAGGGATGTTTGCATGGGCAAGAAACATCAGCCAGCATGTGAATCGAATACACAAGTCAATCTCATATATATATATATATATATAAATACATAAATATTAACATTTATATTCAGATGCACAACAATCATAGATATATCTTGTGTACGGGATAAACGGGAGTGGGGGATATGATGTTGTCATCGCCAGTTAAGCCTTTGACTTGCAGGACACAGAGGTGGCTGGAAGACGGTCGAGCCTCGGCTTGATGTTATCCGTTTCAGGCTGCGCCTGTCTGGAGAAACAAGCTAAGTAATCTTGGCTTGGGAATATGTGCCGGGTTCAATCAGGAGTTGGACGTAAACGTTGTTGCTCAATGAATCTCCTTTAAAGATGGAATTTGGGGAGGCAGGTGCGCATGGGATTTCACTTTAGCTTCATTTTCCAGGCATAGCAATTTTGTGGTGGCAAAGTGCACAGCAGTCGCGCAAGTGATCTGTTTTGTATGATGCTCGGACGCACCAGAAGCATTTTTTTTGGCGATTCCAATGCGTTCCTGTTGGTCATGGAAAAGACATCTCGCAATTCGTGCCCCTCACCTGTGACGCCTTAGCATCCATCCCACATTTTTCACGTGCCTGACAAAGCTATACATCAACATGACATCCACAAACATAATGATGTGTGCCTATGAGAAGTCCGAGAAAGGAAACTCATTTCAGATCCAAGACGGTGCTTTTTTCCATTCCAAGAGCACACCTGTCATAGGAGACACCCGGAGCCAGATAAATTTCACGCCAAGGCCAATGACCAACACCAATAACCAACACTACTGGCAGAATCGGATACCAATACTGAGGATGCCGGGGATGCAGAAAGAAGTTCAAACTCTAAAATGACTTCAAACATCATGATGCAGTTGATCCAGTTGCCTGTAGGCCCTCCCAGCGGAATCAGCCAGAGAGCAACATTCAGACCTCGGCAGACCCGAGATACACCCCCCCCTCGACGGGATTGGTTGTGGGGCTTTTCTGGTTGGTTTTGTATTGCCTTGGGCTTCAAGCAGGGTTGGGTTGGAGTGGCTGAATTGCCACGAATCTCGAACAGTCGGTATCAAGAGATGGTAAGGGATTGTGGCCTTGGGCTTCAGTACTTTTTGACTTGGCCATTGTTGTATCTGCTTCAGTGGAAGACGGTCAGTGCTCTGCATTTCAAGGAGTGGCCACGAGAACTTTCTGTCCGTGGCTTGGGACTATTGTAAGCGAAAGCGTCAGTTGAGATGACTCAGGCCTGGCACTCCTGATCACAGGCCTGGACACGAATTTGCCGTGACTTTTTGGCATATGCAATCTTCATCTCGAGATGGTTTGCTCTTTCTTCACGGTACATGGAGTTGTGCAAAGCTAGGGTTAATACGACAAAAAGTATTTGGCCGGTCCTTTTTTGGCAAAGCACGCGCAGCCTCATGCAAATCCAGAAGGAGTAAACAAAGCGAGAACCCTTGGTAAGACATGAGCGCTACGCACTTGATCTTGTACTTTGAAGTTGCGACTGTCGCGCTGGAGCTGCGAAAGAGTATTTTGCATACTCAAGAGTTGCGACCTTCGAGCCCAAGCTGCCAAAGTGCGCTTCGTCTACTAGGCTTAAGACTTTCACTGAGGCAATAACTGGGAAGTACAAAAAAGATACAAAAAACAAACAAATAACAAAAACAATACAAACCAAAAATACACACTGAAAAACAAAACAAAACAAAAAAAACACCCCGGGGAAAAAAACAAAACAAAAAAACAGAAAACAAACAGACAAAAAACAGAAAACAAACAACACGCATGCACAGAAAGAGGGAAACAGGGATGCCTGGTCTGCCCCTGAAGTGTCCCGGGCAGCATTTCTTTTTCTTCACATTTTGCATGCTTGGTCTGCCCCTGAAGTGTCCCGGGCTGCATTTTGTTTTTTTTTATTTGTTTTTTGTTGGTTTTTTTCCACGTATTTTTGCACATTTTGGATGCCTGGTCTGCCCCTGAAGTGTCGCGGGCTGCATTTTGTTGTTTATTTGTTCTTTTTTTTGTTTTTTTCCTCGTGTTTTTACACATTTTGCATGCTTGGTCTGCCCCTGAAGTGTCCCGGGCTGCATTTTGTTTTTTATTTGTTTTTTGTTTGTTCTTTTTTTGTTTGTTTCCTCGTGTTTTTGCACATTTTGGATACCTGGTCTGCCCCTGAAGTGTTTCTGGCTGCAGTTTTTTGTTTTTTATTTGTTCTTTTTTCGTTTTTTGTTTTGTTGTTTTTTGTTTGTTTCCGCGTCTGTAATTTTATCTTTTTGCTGATTTTCAGTGATTGCCTATCTCTGAGGGTCATAATACTAGGCTTGTGTTTGAACGTTGCAGCTGGAGCTGCCCAAGTGTACTTTGCGTGCTACAGGTACTTACAAGTTGCGACTTTCGAGCCGGAGCTGTCAAGGCTTCGTGTGCTACACTTGTACTTGAAAGTTGCGACTTGCGAGCCGGAGCTGCCAAGGAATACTTCGCGTGCTACACTTGCGCTTGAAAGATGTGACTATTGAGCCAGAGCCAGTCAAAGTGTACTTGCGTACCAAAAAGTTGCCACCTTCGAGCCAGAGCTGCCAACATGTACTTCGCGTGGTTTTTGTGCCTAAAATTGTGGGAACAATTAGCTGATAGCAATTCAGGAGTGGCCGAACGGTCTACCACTCCCTTTTGATACTGCACGGCCCAGAATGCGTATGCGCCAATATGCCGGGAGGCCGCGACTAGCGCGCCCAGCCAGTGTGGGCTCTCAGCAGCTTTTTGCGGGCCGCTCTGGCACTGGCGCTGGAAGCGCAGTTTGGATCAGTGAGGCCTTGATGCGCGGGCCCTGTCCGCCGCTGGTCCGTGGCAGCAGGCCGGGGAGCCGAGGCAGTTGTATAAGTTGGGAAGGCTTTTTGCAGATGTGCGTGTTTTCAGCGCCGCTTGCATTTGCTTTTGACATCTTTGGGGGGACGTGTCGGAGAGCTTTCATGTGACACTGCACTGTTTTTCTCTGGCCTAGGCGCCGCATATTTGCAGGCTGGGGCTCAGTGATTAAGTCACCGGTGGCTAGCAATTGCGCACCTGCCAGGACTGGGAGCGGCCTTTTCTGTGTCCAGGCTGGGGATTTCTCAGAGTCTTTTTTTAGGGACCCTTTTTTGGATGGTTTTAAAGGTCAATTAAAAGGATGCCGTTGCCATTCTGGGGCCCTTTTGAGACAAACCCATATTTCCTCATCCCTCTTGCATTCAACTTGCCAGTGGCTTCTTCCAACTCTACTTTGGCAGTAGCGAGGCTAGAAGCAGACATCAGACGACTCACAGCATCAGTGGGGAGCCCGTAAACAGGCTTTGCATATTTCCACATACCATGGATGCTTAAATAGAAGGAAATTTGAAATGATACGTCGAGCAGAATTCTAGCGTGTGTAGGACTGCCACAATCTGATTTAGAGCAGTGAAAGGTCATACTGGCATAGCCCGTCTGTGTCTCACGACGACACTTGCAGCATACTCGTGAGCAACATTCCACTAGATGCTTTGCAGCCTGAAATTGTCCAATGGCCATGGGTCAAAATCCCGTACCCCCAGTGAACATCCCAATCCCCACTAAGATAGGTTCTGGAATGGGTGGTGCAGCTACCCAAAATGGTACCATTGGTTTTTGACCCACAGCCAAATGTGCGAAGCTGATTTTGCTTCTGGCAGGGGCATGGATCGGGAGTCTATCCCGGCATCGCTCGTCAGCAGGGATCCCCCAGCTCGATCGCCTACTGCGTTGCTTTTTCGCATGGATCTAACGAATGATATGGTGAGTCGTGTTTGTATCCGTTGCTCACCTTTGCCCTCTTCTGACATTACTTGGCTTTAGACGTGGTGCCATACTGTTGTCCTTGACTGCATCGTGCTTGACTTGTCGCTGCCAAACACAAGTGTCATAGATGCGCACAAGCACGCATACAAGAGCCAACAACACGTGTACTTCGAGCATATCAATGCATGTTGTAACACAATGACGCGCCGTCCGAATCTTCCTTCCCAGGTTCAGCGCCAACTCCTTTCCAGTGCAATCTCCACGGCGGGTCCCGCAGGGACTCCCGCAGGGGCTCCAGCAGGGACTTCCACAGGGAGTTCCACAGGCCGGATAGCAAGCTCAGCCAGCTTCAATTTGTTGATCGGGCTGGTTGTGGCAGTGTGAGCAATGATGGCTCTTCCTACGTGGGCAACGCAAGCTGTGTTTGATTCGTCTCCCGTTTTTATGGTCTGCAAAGAGAGAGAGAGAGAGAGAGAGAGAGAGAGAGAGAGAGAGAGAGAGAGAGAGTAAGAGAGAGAGAGAGAGTAAGAGAGAGAGAGAGAGAGAGATAGAGAGAAGGTCTGGCAGATGCAGCGGCACATATCCCCAGCTGCAAGCTTGCCTCCTCAAGCAGGAGCTGATTTTGCCAGCTTTGAACTGCTTTGCTCTTGTGCAGCTCTGAGAAGCCACTGCAGGACATGTTCAGAGCATACCCATGGCAGGCGCGAGGCAAAACGCTTGTGCGCGCTGTGCGCGCTTTGCTCCCCCAGCTTCAGAGTGTGGCACTCTCTCAGCCGCGGTCCAGGCCGTTTTCAGCCGGTAGGGCGCTTTGCTCAGCTCGGGGCGAAGGAGAGACTTCAAAGGAGAGGCTTTAGACAGGCTGCGAGGGGCAAACGCCGGATGATCTTTAGCTTGCCCCGCTTGGCAGGCCCATGAATTGTTGTTTAGGGCTGCTCGGGTCCATAGCTTGACTTGCATCTGTTTGGGGCCGGGACTTCCTCTCTACTACGGCGCTCTAGGCTCTGAACACTCCTTGGCCGAAGATCATGTCTTCAGGTCTCTCACCAGGAGCTGGACGCCTAGGGGCCGATGCGGAGCTTCCTTGGCGCCCATGGGCCCTGCCGCTTTCTCAGATCAAAAGAATGGGGGCGAAAGGGGCACAAACATGGCCATGGCAGGTGGAAGTGCCCAGACAGGAGGTGCTGCCTGCGAAAGCCAGCCTGTACTTCGGCTTGATCTCGCTACATGTTTTTGCTCCGACAAATGCTGTTTTCAGGAGAGTCCTCGCAACATGAAGTGTGAACTTGGACTGTCAGGTTTATGGTCAAAATTAAACCGCCAGGGGACCGCAGGTTTGAGTCCTTGTTCCATTTTCCGGTTACATATTTTTGACCCACAGCCATTCCTTGAACCGCTGTAAACCAGCCTGAGGCAGCCGAGCACGGAGATGCAGCTGCGGGACCTGCAAGCCAATTTGAAGAGGTTGCAGGACTTGCAGAAGGAGCTCGCAAAACAAGTGGCTTCTTGGCTGCAGCGTCTCTTTCTTTTACTGCTCAATTTGGAATGATGGAACCAGTTTGCTGCTGCCAGGGATAGATACTGATCGCTCGCTGTCTGAGCCGGATTCTTCGAACGACCGTCTCACAGACATGCGCTGAATGCTGAGATCTGTGCCTTTTGGCTCGGGCAGCGTCTCACTTTCCACCGCGCGGTTCCCGTGCTGCAAGCCGGGCGCCGGCTTGAAACTCGCTGGGCAAAGCTTCCAGTTGTCCCATATTGCCAATGCTTTTCATTCGGGGTGCCAGGATCCAAAAGCTGTCTCATGCTCTGCATTCGATGCTGCCAGGACACGGCAACCAATAGGCAAAGCTAGGCACAGCAAAACTTGCCGATGCAATGCCCGCAGTGCGAAGACGCTCTGTTGATGTGCAGGACAGGGTCATTGAAGGAGGTTGTTTTCTAATTGATTATGCAGGTTGTGGCTCAACATCTCCGTGAAACTGACTCATTCACTGCTGAGATCTTGCTCTTTTCCTCACTGGTGCTTGCCTTGCAGCACTAAGGGAACATGCATGCAAACTCATGTCATAAAACACCTTCAAGGCCAAGCGAACCAGCAGCCGGCAGCGTTGTCGACTGTGAGTCGGGCCTGTCAATGGCCTCTTGTCCAGAGTCAGATGCGCCGACGTCAAGATGGTGGCAGTCTGAGACTTCGCGCGGCAATGTTTCTGTGATGCGTGGATACCGCCTGCAGGCCAGAAGGACAAACCTCCCTTGGCATGCGCCATAGCGAATCCAGAGCTTTGCCAGCTTTGTCAATCAATCTTCCTCCCGCCTGTGCCTCAGGTCTTGGATCGAGCCATTTCTTCCAGCGTCCCCTTGCAGGCTTGCCATGGACGCTTTGCTGCTTTGTCGGATGGTGGCAATTTGTCCTTTTGAACCTTCCAGTTCCTCATTTCTTTCTGGAAGAAGGATCGAGCATGCAAATCGCTAATACAAGCATCCGGAAATGGAGTGGCTGCTGCGTCTTCGGGTCATGATGTCCATCAACTTTCTCATCAGCCTAGCTTTTGATGCCAGATCATCCTGTATGTCGGTGTTTGGTTTGACCTGGCCTTCGCCGTCATTGAGGCTGGCTGTGGCAGTTTGGGATGCCGGACAGTTAAGGTGAGTGATGTTGGCAAGCTGATGATAGGATGTGTTCACCCAAGAGGCAGCTTGTCACCGAAGAAAGCAGCATCTTTCAAAGAGACACTTGCTCTTCAATCTAGGGCTTAGATGAGACCCTTGACAATGTGTTCTGTTACAAGTAGCGGGCGAGGTTTCCTCAATCTTTGGCCCCTGCCCTTGATGCAGGTGCTGGCAGGATGGGCAAAGATCCGCTGGCTAGCCATGCTCGGTTGCTCGGGCTTGCACAGACCCGACAAAGCATAGTCTGCAGTTGCATCCCCTGAAAGAGATGGCGCCTTTGGCTTGCTGCATGAAGCACATACCGAACAAAGCTCGTGCCAGGATCAATGGCACTATCATCATGGCGGTGATTTGGCGCGCCATGCAGCAAGGGGATTGCCACAGATTTCGTTTTTTCAGACTTCTGAGGGTTTTACCATGGCCTCATCCACCCCTGCGCCCATTGCCAGCGCCAACTACGTGCTTTGCTTCCTCCTTGAGCCGTGCCGCCTTTACCTGGGCTATGTCGGGAATCTGGGGGAGAAGGCCGGGCCGCAGTTTCACGTTCTTGGCGGCAGAATCGATGAAAGTGATTTCAGAACAACCCATGGCTCAATGGTGGTCGCCGTGCTGACTGATTCTCGTAACTCCGGACGCCATGTTGGAAGTGTACCCCATCTCGTTATGACAGCCTTCAACGTGGGGTGAATGCCTCCCACGTCTCTCACATGCCATCAGACACGTTCAGCGAATCAAGTTTTTGCGAAATAGCGCAAACCATGTTTGCTTTGGCCGCAAGGTCACATTTGACATGGATGTCAATCCAATCCAGTTAACATTATGACCTCATGTTCAACATAGGTGTTGGTCATGATGTTTTCAATCAAATCACCAAGGAAGGGAAGAGCCTTCGAAACTCCTACGGGTCCAAAAATGTCAGCTCAACTGGGGGCTGTGACAATGTTCCCACAGTTGACTTTTGGTTTAACGGCATTTCTAGGGGCATGGATGAGCTATGGTGCAGTCATGTGGGACTGCTAGGTGCCGGAGCTGTTCCTCTTCGTCTTCCTTTGCATGGGGTGCCCGCCCAGCGTTTGGGAGAGAGGGTGAGAGAGAAGCGCCTTGTTCGCTTTCCAGACCTGGCCATGGGTCAAAATCCCGTACCCCCAGTGAACATCCCAATCCCAACTAAAATAGGTTCTAAAATGGGTGGTGCACCTACCCCAAAATGGTACTAAAACGGTTTTGACCCACAGCCACCTGACGCAAGAACGGGGTAGGGCATGGAGATCCATGGTTGCAGGTGCATGGCGATAATCATCGCTGATCTAGTCCTCTGCCGCTCGGCTTCGTTGGGTTTGCGATGCACTGCGCTGCTTAGACAGCGCATCTCAGGTTTTTATGTTGAGGATCTACAGCCCGGAATTTGCAGCCTAGTCGCTTGACATAGTCAGGGAAGAGCTTGTTGCTGAAGCTGCTAAGGGAAAGGCCAGCTTGCAACAGACATGGGCTCGTGAACCGGCAATTGCTTGTCTTGCCTGGGTTGGCAAGCATTCCTTGTTGTTTGGTTTCGACATGGACTCTCTGCCGACCTTGTCCAGCTGCTTGTGCACGTCTGCGTCGCAAGCTGTGTCAGCATCTCTGAAGAGCTACTTTTTGAGGCAAAAAGGCTGTGGGTCAAGACCAATGGTACCAGTCTATTTTAGTGGGGATTGATGTTCACTGGGGGCACGATTTGGCTTTTGACCCATGGCCACATCCCTTTCTCACAGACTGCAGTCGTCTTAGGCGTCTTTCTTTCCATCCCAAACCTGGCGACCCGTGCTGGTCTTCTCAGCGTACTGAGGCTCCAGAGTATCCCTGCGTCCTGCCGGTGGAGCAAGCCACGACCCCAACTGCCGGTGAGAAATCCGGGGAGCAAATATGGCCATGGGGCATAACCTATGCCTCCATTTTGGTGTGGAGGAACATCCATTTGCCACCTATCTTGATGTTCACCAGGGGTTTTCTGGGTTTTGACAACCACAGCCGTATCGGCACATTTTGGTCGTTCTCCGGTCCAGCGTCTTCCCTCAAGTGATTGGTGAAGGGTGTCCCGGACCTTCCGGAGGTGTTCTGGGTGTGGCGGCTTGCCCTGCTGCTGCTGGAGCTGATTCTGGGCATCCGGGCCCTGCGGAGGAAAGGATTGCATGCTGCAACATTCCGAAGGAGCCGCCCACATGCTGTTGGAGCGTGGCTTGTGGCGCAGGCTCATCCACGAGCAGTCCGCCCGCTTTTTTGTGGCTCTGGATACGGCTGAAGGCAGGAGCCAAACGTGTGTCCCTGTTTGGTTTGCAGCCCTGTTAGCGCTGGGTGCTGCGAGGAACTCCATTTGATGACCTCAGCAGCACATGGGTCCCCCGCCCAGAGCGGAGGTGCATGAGGAAAGGTAAATTTGAGCAACCATGGAACACGCCAAACAACCTGCGTATACCCCACTGACAGAATTCGCGATGGCTCCTAGTACGCCCTAATCACATAGTTCGGGAAGGATTTGGAGTGCGGGAAGACTGAAGTACGAAAGGCAGAGCGAAGCCGCCCTGGAATGGGCCAAGAGCGTCAGTCCTTTGCTCAGGCTTTGAGATTTGGCTGTGATTCTTTTGGTCGTACCACTTTTTGGGTTGGTTTAATGGGAAACCAAAAGGACCGCCCATTTTGGAGGCTCCCCTATTTTGACGCACACCCATTTGGCTGTGGGTCAAAATCCAAATCGTACCCGCCCGTACCCCCAGTGAACATCCCAATCCCCACTAAAATTGGTTCTAAAATGGGTGGTGAATTCACCTACCAACCAAAATGGGATCCCAAAACGGTTTTGAGCCACAGCCATTTGTTTGGAAATGGCGGCAGTTCATGGGGGAACAGGAGCTCGCCCGGCTTCAGGTCAGACCTCGCGCGGGTCTACGGGCGCCCGAGCTCTCCACAGACTCCTCGTAGGCCGGGTGGTTTTCCAAGTGGCTGCGGCTCAAAAAATGTACCAACATGGCACCAAGCTCTTCATCTTCGATGAGCACATGTGTCAAGTGGCTGGTACCCAACATGGCACCTTGGTAAATGGAACCAAAGACTAACACCTATACCCTGGCCCTTCAATTTTGAGCCACACCCAAGTGAGCACGGCGCGCTGCGAAGCCAAGGCCGCATGCTGACTAGTTCGGCTCGCGGATCAGCGCAGCTCTGTGGCACCGGGGATGCGACGGGCTGTACCAGAATGGCCAGCAACGGGCTGCCCAAAGTTGGCAGCCCGATTTCCAAGGATGGCCTTCCCTTGGTGCCAATGCACTTGGTGAAACGACGCAAGAGGTGGATACCATGAGATTGAGCCCTGTTGCAGAATTCTGGAGCAGCCGGACTAGCAAGTTGCTCTGCAGGTGAATGCTTGGAATCATTGTTTGGCTCAATGCTTCAGAGAAGCATAGCAGTCCATGTGAATCCTTCAAAGATATCATCAGATAGCGACCAAGGATAAATGGAATGACCCATCACACCCTTGGTGTTTGGAGCTATTGTTTGACGGACATTGGTGAAAGACGCTCGTTCGCAAAGACGGGCCGCGGTCTCAGATCATCCGACATTCACCTGATTGCCCTCTCGGCAGAGAGCAGGCAACTTCAGACAACAACCAACTCTTCCCTGCTGGCGTAAGAGTGAATCCGGCTGTTTGGACTTTTCGACCTCTGTTTATGAACAGAGAGAGATTCCTTTTTTGGAGCCTGCAACCAATCCAGGCTTGACCAATGTGGTTTCCAGTGAGCTGTTTACCAAACTGAGGCGTGGCTGGCACGGATGCCCTTCGTGCGAGACCATTCGTCCGCGGCTCGGTAACTGCCCACATGTTGCATTCACAGAGAGTGCCTCTTGCCTCGAGGACTCGTGAGCTGCTTCAGCATGATGCTCACAAGACGCGGGTGGACACTTGTCTCAACCCAACTGGGTGTGGGTCAAAAATTGGGTAACCCCAAAATGGGTTGCCCTGGTAAATGGAACCAAGGACTAAAACCTGCGGCTTGGCGGTTTAATTTTGACCCATACCCAACTGACGTCCTATGCACTCGGAGTCGAGACGAACACTCAGGACCGAGCTAGAGGAAGCGGGGGCGGCGTAGAAGAAGGCGACGAAGAGGCGCAAGATCGGCCTGGAGGCCGCGGCTTCCGTCTTTTCCCTTCGTGCTGTCGTGCAGTACTCCCACCGCGCCACGCGCAGGCCACATCCCAGTGGCAGGGCTGGAAGCTGAGGGGAGTTGAGGAGCAAAAGGATGAGTGAGTCAAGCACAGAAAGTCAAAACATCGCTCTCTGCACAGAGTCAAAGCTTCCCTTTGACAGTGAGCCTTTGATGGTGTGATTCAGCCCGCGCAGTATTGAAGCTGTGATGCGATCGTGTTTTGGTTGGTTTCGCGCCAGAAGCAGCTTTGGACCTTGCTAGGAAATGAATAGGTGAAATGTGTTTTCTCCACTCTTTTAGCATCCTACACATGCTGGGGCGCTTATGCTTGCTAGGGGAAGATCATGTGAAAGCTACCTTCAAAAAAGTGTATTTTGAAAGAGTGTCACCGGAGAGCACATTTTGCCTTCGCGTCTAGGACTGATGCTTGCATGTTGGCAAGCTTGGTGAGTTCGACATCGGTTTTTTCCTAGGTCCCCATCCCAAGAATGCTGCTACCTCGAATGGCTAGGAACAAAACATGTTATACATGTCAACCATATTCCGTGAGTGTTGTTTTGCTTCTCCCTGGATTGCTTGATTGATTGATGGAAGAGCTGAGGGAAGGGTGGGATCGGCCGGCCGATTCTTGCGAATTTCTCGGCCAACTTTCCGTTCTATTTTGTAGCAGTTGTCTATTAGGTGCCAAGTTTCCTGCTCCATGAGTTTCCTAGATTTTTTTCGCTATATGCGGTGGCTCACGACGTAGCAGATGGATTCGCCCAGGCAACCTATGCCCCAGACGCAGAGGAAGCTGCCTCCCACGGACGTGGTGATGGTTTTTCCCTACAAGGCCTGGTGCAGTTTGCAGGAGTCTTGTGATCAGCTGACCATCAACCCGTTTGGGTTTGGCTCAAAGTTCAAGACCTAGGGTTACGCAGGTTTTGGTCTTTGTTTCCATTCACCAAGGTGCCATTTTGGGTACCAGTTTTTAAGCCGCAGCCATTTGACACGCATGCTCATCCAAGATGAAGAGCTTGGTCATGTGCAGCGGATGTGTACTGTGTGCTGGAGCAGCGCGCACAGCTGTTGGCAATATCATTGGTACAGCAAAGCCGCGTGTCTTTTGAATGCAAGACAAGCTACGTGGCAATTTGCAAGCTGGACAACGGGTTTCCGAAGCTGGGCTCGGCCATGAGCGGAGCTTTCGGCCATGTCGGCTATGAAGGATGGCAAGGCCGGTGGGAGTCGCTTTCTTGTGGGCAAGTGCCGTTTGATAAATGCAGTGCAGGCAGTTTTCTTGTTGATTGATTCCGAGCCGATTAGTAGCCGCAACAGTTGGGCAACCCCATGTTTTGATGCACTCAGCCAGCAGAAATTCAAGGCACCGACTGGAATTCTGTATATGTCTGGGCAACATGTAGGCAATCCCATGCTTTGACGAACTCATCCATCAGAAACGCAAGGCATTTGCTAGAACCGCAGCCGGCTGCCAAACGCAAGTGCATACACGCATGAGCTGACTTTTTCTGACAAGTTTATGGCTGACTTAGACTACACTATCCCAGAATGGCTCATGGCAAAGAGCCACTCAAGTCCTCTTGGGCACATTGAAAGCTGGCTGAGGCAGAGCTGCCTTTGGTGTCTGCGCCATGTGCGGTCTCCGAGCTAAAGGCGAGTGCTGCGCCTCTCGTGCGCCAGATGAGAAGCTGCGTGACAGGTCCAATATGCAGATAGTGCTGAGTTCTTGTCGAAGGCGTGGCGGGCGAGGGGCAGCATAGAGTCGTAGACACTTGTCATGAGCATAATTTTTGCAGGGAGCTTGAAGCATTTGTTTCGGTTGGATGTGAGGGCCGGAAGCAAGTTGGGTGTGCGCAAGCAGGTGGGGCACTTGATGGAGCACTTTCAGCTTATGCGCTGGCAACTTAGGGGGGTGAAAGCTGGCTTGGGCAAGGACTTTGCAGCATGCACCAAATCCAGTAGCGCTAGGCCATTCTTCACACTGCTCGGAAACTAAGCAATACGCTTTTGATTGAATAGAACTCTTGAGGCGAAGAGCACATTTTGTGTATTTATCGGTGATTTGCTTCCCAATGACGCGGCCATTGGACTAATCGCCGCTAGAATTTCTACTCTACGCGTGTCGCTGTTCTTTCAGGTCGCACGCAGCCAGATGGAAACTGTGGCTTTGGCATGAAAGAGAGGGGCGGGGAAAGAACATGTAGGACATTTTCGGCCAAGGACAAGTAGCAAAGGAGCTGGACCCAAAAGCATGCATGTGATGTGTGGACTCTGTTGCGTGCAGTTTCTTGGAAGACTTCTTAATCTGCTCTTTTAGGCCTGCGTCTCAAACAGCAACCACAGTGTCAATGTCGAGCTGACATGCATGTATTGCAGATTCAGCGCACAACATATCCGTGAACGCTTTTGATGGCGGGCGAGGCTTCTATCGCGCCTACCTTTTCGCTGTTTTGGAGCAGGTGGCTGGTCACAAGGACGCCAATGTCATGACAACCTCTAGGCATCCTTAATCCTCGCCAAACTGTGCCCACACGCAAACAGAAGTGTGCGAAGGAGCGGCACGCTGCCCTGATGGATCGCATGAAAGGAGCGCTGGAAGATTGCGCAGAGGCTGGATACGAGAAGGCCGGGGCTTGAATTCAGTGTTGCTGCCGCCACAACTTCCCGGTTTGCCGTTTCTGTCTCACGGGCATGCGAGCAACACATGCGGGCAACATATTATATTTGTCAACCCAAATAGCGTCGAGTGCGTGGGTCCCCGTTCAACGCCAACTTCTGGCGGCGTTGCAAAATGTGCAGCGCTTCGAGCAGAGGTTGCCATTGACGTGTTCTATGATGATTTCATGGACGTGATGACGGCACTGGGCACAGAAGGCGCTTCGGGCTCCACGGTGCAGGCGCAAAGATCAGGTTTCATCCCTGACAGGGTGCAGGAGCATGGTTGGTTGGGTAGGGTCCATGCACAAGTAAAAACCAGCTGCTCATTTTTGACTGTCAGTCATTGTGGCTTGAGCAGGCTACGGCATCTTTTGTTGTATGATATGAATCTGAAGCCCAAGCAATGCTGCAGCTATAGCCATTGATGGCGTGCTGCAGAGGTGGGGGGCAAGAAGAGAGTGGCTCGTGCAGGCGTTGTGGGAGGAGAACGACAAGTGCTTGGTTTGTTGGGCCAGGATCCTCACGTACCTTGACTGCATACTGCTCGGATGCTCGGATGTCTTGTCTTGGCCAGTATCAGGTCGGCGCATTTGAAACGCCATGAGCAGGTGAGGGCCTTGTCTGCTTAGAGGTGACTGTAGCTTGCTTTTTGACCTGTCCCAACAGGACTTTGCGTGTTTCTTGACGTCCCACCCTTCTATTCAGCAATTCTGTGCACAAGAAGTGGGGAGCTCAGCTGATTGCTTTGGCATGCAGGTGGCCTCTCACCATAGTTCTTCTTTCTTTTTGCGCAGGGCCCTTTGAGCCAGACCCACGCAACCGAGGTTGATCCA